CCTTGGCATCGTGGCGGACTGTCTCTATCTTCTCTAGCATCCCTACCTCCTGAAGAAATACGAGTCTCTCTATCTTCAATTACTGCTGATTCTTCTTCAACATCATCCTATAAAAATAATAATTAAAAATATATATATATTTTTATTTAAGTAAATTATTTAATAATTATTTAATAAAAAATTTCTCAATAAATTTCAATCATTATATATTATAATATATATATATATTACTTACCACATGAGATTGAACTGGAGTATTGATGACTGGTGTTATTGTTATTTCAGTTCGAGCCTAAAAAAATATAAAAATAAATAATATATTATTATATTTAATATTTTATATAAATAAATAAATGATTTGATTTACGAAAAAATAAGATACCTTGGAAGAAGATAGGAGATCACTGATAGAAACCGGATTAGAGCCTTGATATGTCTGCAAAAGGTGCTGGGTTGCTGCACTTTGCTGTGGTATAGACGCGGCTGTTGGTGCATTCCTTTCTCTTTCAGGTGCGGTGAGTAATCTAGCTAAAGTAGGTGAAAAAGTAGTAGGTCTTGGAGATTGTGATTTCGTGAGAATTCCATGAAGCAACGAACCACTTTGTTGTGGTGGAGTATTTTGTGGTGCCGGGGATGGTGCAACAGGGTGAAGCGTCACATCCGGATAATTTTGAGGTGTTTTTACTGGTTCACCTATAATGAGTTTATGTAATAAAGTATAATAGTTATTATAATATATTTAAAATATTAAATCCGTTTAATATTTAAAATTACTTTAATAAAAATAATATTTTTTCCAATACAATACAAGTATAAAAATATCAGTTTATTTTTTTTTTACTAATTTTTTTAATAATTTATTAAAATTCATCTGATATTAAATTAAATTATCGATCACGTTTAAATATTTAAAGTATAAAAAACATAAATCATTACAAATTTTAAAAGTAATTTTTTAAAATGAGTTTTGCATACCTTGTTGTTGACTTAATTTGGCAAACTGCACAAGTACATCTTTAAAGCTCATAGAATTATTAGGATCAACTGTATTTGAAGTACTTTTACAAGAGTCTGTACTAGATGGCCTTGAATCCACATTATGTCCTGTTTCGACCATGGCTCCACCAGCTCCAAGACCAACATTTACCGAATTTCTCATTCTTCGACCCCTATAATAATAAAACATAATTTTACAAAATAGTTAGATTCAAATTTCAAAATTATTTTATTAAAAATATTTCAAACATTAAATTTTTTTTTCGATAACAAAAATTATAAATAATATATTTAACCACAACGAACTTTATTGCTTACCTGCGTGGTACCGTTTCGGGATGCCTCAATCTATAATCAGCAATGATAGATCTAACATCGACAATGGCACCTTGACGACCTTCGCCAATTTGTCTATTTTCTGGACTAAGTGCTTCTGTCTGTTTTCGGCCATTTTCTCCTCCTTGTTTGGGTGGTGTTGATTGTTGTGTATTTTGTTTTATAATTTTTTCCTTTTTAAAAGCAGGTGAATCTTGAGAGCTTTCTTCTGGCAGATCTTCCTTAGAGCCAAAGCTCAATTTTTCTTTGGATACAGGAGTGGTATTACCACTACTTTCCCATTCAGGGCCTAGAGCTAAACTTGCCGGTGGCAATGTATCTGCTAATTGCCCGTTACCCTCCATAAATCCCATAACTTGCCTCCGTCTCTCAATTCTCAGGTACGCTTCTTCCTTTAACTTTCTCATACTCAAAATCTCGTTCCATTCCATTTCTTTGGCACGTGCTAATTCGTCCAGGGCCTAATAAAGAGGAAAAGACAATCAAATGACAATTCTTCAATGTTTATAAATTTAAAATATCTAATGTATTTTTATCTTAGTAATACTTATATCGATCTAAAGAAAAATAATATTTACTTGGACTTCAGCTCGAAGTTGATCAGCCCTCGCAGCAAGTTCCTCTGCGGTAACTTTCTCACAGCCGACAAGGGAAGAAATGTATTGTTCCCTCTGTTCCATACACAATTTCTTCGAGGTAGAATTTCCATTTGATGACAATTGTCCATCCGTTGATTTTCGTTTTCTGCTACCTTCCGTTTTCGTCTTTGCGCAACGTGATTCTACGGGTTTTTGTTGTACCGTTTTCGCCGAGGACAAGCTTTTGCTCGCCGCCTCCGGTTCCGAATCACAGAGAGGTTCCTTCTTGATCGACGCGGATCGAAGACACTCGATGGTGGTCGGAGCGGCGGCAGTTTCTTCTGGAAGAGCTGCGCCATTTTGCTGATTCTGAGGAACTTTCGGCGAAGCTCTCGACGATTCATCATCCCTTGTTTTCTCGGCCGAGTCCACCTTCTTCCCATTTCCAGCCGCACCTTCCATTGCGTGCATCTTGTTCAAGCTGCAAACAAATGTTTTTTCTTCCATGAATAAGCATTTTCTATGCGTCCTTCGAATATTTTATGTCGCTTACATATAAATTTTATTTATTATATATATAATTCATATTTATGTTTTTTTTTTAAACTTGTTTTTTTTATTCAAATGATTGTAATTAATAAAATAAATATTATAATACGGTAATTATTATAATCATAGTGTATTTAAAACGAAGTTTTTATCTTTTTCTTAAGTGTGATCAAATTACGTGTTTAAGTATCTTTGAAATTTATTGAAAAATCAAGATAATTAATCATTGTTTATTCAAAGATTAGATTGAAAACATCCATTTTATAATGATGACATTGATAAACCGATAAGTCTGTTTTATAAAGTTTACTTTGATCTTGCATAGAAAATAATCACCAAGAGTCCAAGAATGTTCAATGGAAAACATCTAGTAGAAAACATTTACATTATCAAACAATTGAAAACAAAACTGCGATTAAAAAAATCCAAATTGTCGTAAAATCCCAATAATCTTAAATTAACGAATCAAATATATTATATATTTAATGTACAATATTCAAAAGAGATTCAACAAAAAAACAATTTTTCAAAAAAAAAAAACAAAAATATAGAAATTCAAATGAAAAGACAAATTAAGAGAAAAATATTTAAAACTAAGAAATAAAAATAATGTATAGAACAAAAATTAATTATTTTAATTATATCGACATATATAACAAATCGTAATCCCCGATAAAAGAAATCTATAAGAAAAATCAATGAAATGTAATTCTGCGCCTTCGATCGATATTTGGACGCGGATGAGTGCGTCGAAAGTGGGGTTGCTCCCACGACGAAGATGACCCACGGTGGTCTTCGCAACGCGTGCATGGCCGTTCTGCGTTTACCCTCAGCAAGAGGCACGCTTACAAGCGCACTAGAATAGAAGGTGACCACACAGTGGGGTTAACGCTTTCGCGCCTCCCATGCGCTCCACTGCCTACTTCCAAGAGAGATCGCTTCTCCACAGGAGCGTATCTACGCTCTATGATTTACAATAGTCGAGTTGATTTACAAAACAAAATGTATGGTGGTATAGCATGAAAGGATCAGTGATTAAAAAAAAAATTCCTTTACTAAATTGTATCGTTGTTCTTTGTTGATTTAAATCTTTAAGAATTTCAAAATTAATTAAATTTCTTTGAAAATTATATACGTGTTATATAACTTAATGATATATTGATAAAAATTAGAACACTGGGCGAGAATTTAAATTATTATAATTTCGAAACAAATACAATGAACAAATAGATATGAAAAATATAAAGATTTACATTTTTTTTTTTTAGATTATATATCTAATTTTTAGTTATATGTAAAATATTTATGTTTACTTAAGTATTCCTGAATAATTAATTGTACATTTTTTTATTCTTGTTTTTATTATTTAATATAATGATTAATAAATTTTATTAACTTATACTTATTTTCAGCGATATATTCTTGTTACACGATCCTATCTTTTTCTTAACTTTCTCATACATAACAATAGAAGATTGCAGATTATATATGTATACATAGTAGCAATTCGTGCTACTTTGCTTTACAAATATTTGTATAATTCAATTTAAATTTGAATACTTTTATCAATATGCAGTGGAATTAATAATAAAATTTTATTTAAAAAGATGTTATACAATTATAATAATAAAAAGAGTACGATTATGAATAAAATAAAAAATCGAACAAATCGATTTTTTCGAATCGTGAATCTAGAAAATGTTGAAACGATAAAAAAATAATTTGTTCAAAATTTATAAAAGACTATTAATTATAGTAATTCCAATTAATAATTCAATAATCTAAATAAAGTAGATCGTCAAACGAAAAGTAAACATTGAAAGATATAATGAAATACAATCGTCCAAAATTTGAGGCTACGCCTGTGTCTGGTTTAGTACGAGAAACACGGTGCTTGTGTGCTCGTTCGTAAGAGGGGAAGAGGTTCAGAGGGGGAAATTGCACGTGAGAGAGGAAGATAGGACGGTAGAAAGAGAAGATAAAAGAGGGGGAAAACGAAGTTCGTTGCACCCGCTTGCGTTCACTGCACTTTATAGACGCGGATATAGGTTTCGCGGTACCAATTCTGAAAAGCCCTCGAACTCTTCTTTGAATCTTTGAAGTTTTCAATCGAAATAAATAAATTACTGTTAACTTTAATTTGTCTGGTCGACTTGCTCGATGTTAATTTAATCGATGTAATAGAATGAATATCTTTCATTATTTATATTATACAAAATAAATAAAATATAAATAATTAAAAATTTTATCATAAAAATCTATCATAGTTCTATCAGTATTTTTTAAAAGCAGTTTCTTTCAAACGAACAAATTAATTTTTAAAAAAATCAAAATTTATATAACAATATAAAATCATGAAGTATTATTTAAATAAGATTAAATTAATTAAATTAAATTGTTAAACAAAAAATAATTACACGCTCAATTTTATAATTTTAATAATTTTAATAATTTTATATAATTATTATTATTATCATTAATTTTAATAATTTAATTTTATTACATTTATCATTGAATTATAGAGAAGTCAATCTTCCTTTAAAAAAAATAATTATTCTAATGATCATTTTTCAATATACATTTTCCATATTTTATATAGGCTAATAAAATGTCACATAATTATATTTCAATGCATTAAAAAGTTTAAAGTATAATCTGTTAAGTTTAGACTGTTAAGTTTTCTCATGCATTCTTTTCTTCAGGCAGAATGTAACAGGTGGTTACTGGTCGACTTTCATTTTCAACATTTGTGAATCCGCCAATAATCAGATAACATCCATTTTAACAATTACTTATTCAAAACATATCATAAATATCAAATTTCATAGATGCATTTAATATGTCATCTATAAATAATGATTTATTATTAAATATAAATTTATTTCAAAAATCTTATTAATATGAGTAAATATATTTAAACAAATTTTAAAGTATAAAATCTTTTCACAAAATACTTATGAAATAATAGAGTATAATTCTTTTGAATTGAAGCATATAATTTCCACTTGAAATATCGAAAACATTTTAAAAAACTTACTTCTAAATATTCAATCAATTCATATAAAAAAACTTCCACACTTTACTTACTTCGTGTCATTATGTTATGGTTACCAATATTAAGTACACTATCTTGAATAATATTTTAAAGTTTTCTAAACAATTATCAAGAATTCGTTTAAAATATTAATAGAAAAACTATAAACTATAAACTATATATATTAATAGAAAAACTATATTATACTGCATTAATTGAAGGATTCGTATTTCATAGAGATATTATATTTTTCACGCTTTTCTTGGCTTCATGAAACAGGAATAGAGCATAGAATTGTTTAGTTCTAGCGATAGCGAAAGCAAAGGAGAAAGTGAAACCGGCCGGTAAACAGTAATTGAAATATTCTAAACGAATGAGCAAGCATTAAAACTGGAAAAAGCTGTATCGCCATGAAACAAGAAATAAAAACCATATTGATACAAGTTGGCGTTAATTTAAATGTTAATTTAATGTAATGAACTCATAAAATATCAGTAGTTATCGTTCTCTCGTCTATTTTTTTTATACATAGTAAGCACAAAGAAGAATAATGACGAGATTAATATCGATCACGTAATCGAGGTTATAGAGAGAATACTATCGATGTTACAGATTTACCAAAAGTATTGAGGTTAAGGAAACTTTTTTACGTAAACGCGATGTTGAAACTATATAATCTATAAGCTGTTTGCACTCAAAGTTTAACAAAATACACAATTTTACAATGAATATAGCAAGTATAAAAAACTATATATAATATCACTTCACTCTTTTTCACAGGAATAAAATGGTGATATCGTTAAAACATGATCAAAATTTTCATTAAATAACTCCGTCCAACTATTTTCTTCAAACCAGTATGATAATCACTGTCATGAATCAAGATGAAACACGAGCTGTATATAACTGGTTCCTATATCGGTCACGAGATAACAACTTTCACAATTAGGATCTCGAAGAAAAGAAAACAATCGATAGTGTTGCAATTGTTTCATAATTTGTTTTTCTAGCACGAGACAAAACACGAAAGCATAAAGATTCTAAAAATTTCAGAATTGTCAACTGATATTTCATCAAACTTTATGAAATCATAAAAATTAATATAGAGATTTATGTCTTCTAACTTACATATAAATTAAATTTTTATATACAAAATGTATTAATCTACGTACGTTAAACGCGGGTATCGCAAAACTTGAGTAGCAGACTGTTACATGATCCCAAAAGTAATCCTCGAAAGAGTAGCTTTACGAGATTTCGAGCGATATATACTCGCAAAAAAATGAGCTCTTGCTATTAAAATCCGTTGACACAGGAACTAAGTGGTATAAACACACGTCGCATGCACCGTTCACACTCCACTTGCACTTTTCACCGAACGTTCCCGCTCGCCGGTCACGACGATCCTTTCTTTCTCTGGCCCCTCTTCCCCGGAAACAGCCGGACGTAGTCGATCGGAGCCGATCGCAACCAATTGTCCGTGTTTCGCGTCTTTACT